GCTCCCAGTCCCCATGCCATCTCCATCTTGCAGAAGGTCCTGCTCTCCCTGAGATTCCTGGCCACCAGATTCTTCCAGGGGGTCATGGCAGAAATCCTTGTGGTGTCCCAGTCCACAGCTAGCTGTTCCTTGCACAGCTTTCTGGATGCCATGTTCACCCACCTTCAGGAGCATGTGCGCTTCTCCACAGAGTGGCAGAATTATTGACAGGACGAGGCCCCTGCCCATTGTGTCTGTGAGGATCGTGTGCCTTGCGTGGTACCACCCACGTGCTTCCTCCTCCATCGTGCACAATGAACACCAACACCTGAGATGCACACACTGGTTGAGTTTTATTGACGGGATCCAGGGACAACAGAGGGGTTAGGGTGGGATTCCATGCACTACACCACTCAGTCCTTTGCCGCTAGGAAGGTGGGCAAACAACAAGGCATAGAAGTAGAGAAGTTGTACTTTGCCACTGTTCTTTCTCATGTTGTTTTAGAAAACTTTCTGAAGTGTTGCCTTGTGCACATTTGGTCAGCCATTTTAGAGCATCATACGCTAAACAAATAGAACACTTTCCTGTCTGAAATAGGTGTGAAGACCAAGAGGAATGATTCATCTTGGCCATTACAAACTTCACCAGTGTAAACGTTTTAGTACCATTGCGAACCAAACTCAACTAACATCATAATCTGAAGGAGGATAAAAAGGAATATGTCACTTAGATCAATCTTAGTTATACATAAAATCAAACATGGATTCAAGACAAATCAAAACTGCACCTTTCATCTGACTGATGATCTTATGCATCTTCACAAAAAGCATTGTAGATTTGGCCAATAAAAAGGACAAAACACTGGTTGGGAAACAGTTCTGGGAACTGAATCAAGTCATCTGTTTGTAACAGAACCTGTAAACAACACCTTTCTCAATCTGGCCATTCTACCTTCTTCAATTCTAAAATGTAATTGTAAACTTCTTTGTAGTCTTGAGCTGAAACTGATGGGGAAACTACCTACATATTCTAGCTACTCATCACCTACTTTGGTGTAGTGGTTAAGTGCATGGACTCTAATCTGGGAAAACCAGGTTTGATTCCCCCACTCTTCCACTTGCACCTGGCTGGATGACCTTAGGCAAGCCACAGTTCTGATAAGAGGTGTTCTTGAAAAAGAGCAGTTTCTGTCAAGAGCTCTCTCAGCCCCACCTACCTCACAGGGTGTCTGTTGTGGGAAGGGGAAGGGAAAGGAGTTTGTAAGCTGCTCTGAGACACCTTTGGGTAGTGAAGGGCGGGGCATAAATCCAATCTCTTATCTCCTTCTTCTACTTTGTCATTTTAGATTTCACCTCATTTTGGCTATGAAGCTTATTTATCTCATTTGAGTTATCATAATTAACTGTCATTGACCACTAGCTTGTCTGTCAAGCTCCGCAACTTCTCATGTGTGGCTTTCTGTTATAAGAAACAACCTGCCTTTTATCATCTTGTGATTCTCATACCCCCCCCCCCCCAAATAAATAAAGTTGGTTAAACTCTAACTTGATCCTAGGGATCTAATTTTTGATAATAACACTCTGGGAAACTGGGCTGAATGCACCCGTAGAGAAGCTGTCAAGGCCCGAGGCCCACTCAGCAACAAGGCATTTTATTATAATTAGGTATATCTACAAGGAAAATTATTATTAGTTCCTTCGTTGTAAAATATTTCACATTTGGCTTCTTTCAGAGTCATTACTGAATTCTTCAGTGCTCATTTGGGGGAGAAGATAATTTTTGTTAGCCACCCTTAACTGGTATACAGCAAGGAAGTATATAAGGATTCAGTGATCCTAATTTCCCCCCACTTATTTCATTAAGACAAGGAAGGATTTATGAAGACTCGTGATGGGCTGAGGAAGAAGCAGGCAACGGGGGAGGGGGAGACCGTCTGCCTCCTTCCCTCCCCACATTGCTGTCAGGGTTCACTTCCACCTGCCTCCATGGAGGTGAATGGCACAAGGACTTAGCAGGTGCTGCCACTGCCATTCCAGCAGACTGAGGCACTGCTTGGTTGAACAGGCAAGCCGTAATTTCATTGAGAATTCTTCTCTCAACCCCTCTATCAAATAAACAAAGCAGTAAGGTTTTACCTCTCTTGCATGGGTGGAAGTTGTATCCAGCTGTTAAACCTAGGATCATATCGGCTGACAAAGTTCGTACTATGCTTTCCTGTAAAGAGATTAGTTTCACATTTAGCTCTTCGTTTTCTATCATTACAATTTGCAGATTAGTGTTATAGTATACTCCTTTCACTTGTTGACAACTTTTACGGGTCTTTAGAGCAATGAATGAAAAAAAAAATCAAGAAACAGCAAACTGTGGCTTTTAACAAATAAGGTAACAGTAAATACACAAAAAATACTTTGGCTCAATACAACCTCTTTTAAAGATGGAAATCCAGTGTCATTTAAAAATAAAGTGCCATAAACCAAATTCTTATGACACAATAGGAAATTATCATGGGGGAGGGGAGAGTTTCTCACAGCATTTCACAGATAAAGAGTTTATGGCAATTTACAGAATCATGAGTATCTCTGACATTCTGTCTGTCCTGTCTCCTCTATTTGCATCTGAAACAGGTTATTTAATTTTTTTACAGGAAGGAGAACATACAATGCTCAGGCATCTTTATGTTAGGGTCTTGGTCTCTTGTTCCTATATTACATTCTTGAGCTGTCCTGTCTCCTCTATTTGCATCTGAAACAGGTTATTTAATTCTTTTACAGGAAGGAGAACATACAATGCTCAGGCATCTTTATGTTAGGGTCTTGGTCAATGTTCCCTCTAAGCTTTGGAGTCTTGTGAGCAAAAATTCTACTTTGTGAGCTACTGGCATTAAAGTTGTGAGCGAGTGATTTCGCTACTGCATAAATTAATTGGCTCTGGAGCCATCCTTTCTGAGCTGAGACAAAAATGTGTGAGCTGGAGGCTAAAAAACTGTGAGCTAGCTCACACTAACTCAGCTTAGAGGGAACACTGGCCTTGTTCCTATATTACATTCTTGAGATTTCTTCCCCCATGACGTGTAGATGAGACATTTCCCAGCCAAAAATGCAACATACAAGTAAGACCTAGGTGTTTTTACCATAATTTTAAGAAAAGTGAGTTTATACCCTATCTAGGGAAAAATGCTCTCCTGCTGCTTTATTCCATGTATGTTGGCTTAAAAAAAAAGAAAGGAAGCATGGGTCTATGTCATCCTGAATACTAAACTTTAGCGTTGCATACTCTTTAAGATATTAAGATTGCAGTTTATTTTGCATTTACTTATTGACATGGAAGCAAGAAGATGGGAGCAAGGGAGTGCATGGCAATTTCTGTTTAACACCTGAGCCTTCAGCACGTTTCTAAAAAGCTGTCTTGCCTCTTGAATATGTGACTAAAAAAATGAATCACAGCTACATGACAGCCCAGTTATGTATCTCATAGAGAAATAAATGGTCAATCATATAGTCTACTAGATAAATATTCTTCAGCTTTAAATAATCAGTATGATTACACCTTTCTGTCTCCATAAATTGCATTTACATGAATAAATAAGGTCACAGGCGTATCTTTTTATTTCTTAATTTCTAACCTACCTTTCCACCCAAACCAGGCCCTGAAACCCTGACCCAAGATCTTGTTTTGCTAAGAAATGTCATATTAAATTCCACACGCACCTGGGCCAGACACCATATAGTCTACATACTGTACATGAGGATCTGTTTACAGGATAGAAATGCAACTCTATGAATTTCACTTTCAAAATTAAATGTCATGCAGTCATCAAAAAGGTCATATAATACACCCCAAACAACAAAATTTTGTTCCAAGAAAAGGTAAACTCTGCATATAAAACTGTTTGCACATTCTAGCAGTTATATAGGGTTTTGTATAACATTTCAGTCATGTTATCTAAGCAGTTCTCTTGTTTGTATGAACTGCTGAATATGCAAATGGTTTGGCAGTGGGAGTTTGCCCAGAGGTTCTGTCCCCAAATTGTACCTACCAATGTCCTACACTCAATATCAAACCATTTTCCCACAATCCCCTCATCCCCTTCATGGCTGGACACACTTTGCAGGTAGGTTCAGTCCCTGGCACCTCATTATAAAAGAATTTCAGGTAGCATGTTGTCAGAAAAATCATTCACTGCTTAGTAGCCTGGAGAGCTGTTGCTAGTCAGAGCTGACAATACTGAGCTAGATGGGCCAATGATATTAGGCAGCTTCATATGTATATGTAACACCCACCCCTACCATCTGGCCCCAGTTGTTCTTTTAATCTCTTCTCCCTCTTCTTTCTCCCATGATCTCTGTCCAATTGATCATTCCTTCTGTCATCACTTACTTACTTGTTTTTTTCTTTCCCTATGTTTGCTCTGATTTCTCTAAACTTGTCTTCCATGTGACTCCTTCCTGAAAATTGCTCCTCACATTTCACTCCTCTTCTGCTAACTAATGAATCATGGTATAAAGGTTTTCTGAAAAATATAATTCTACTTCTAACAGGAAAGTCAGAATAAGCAAGAAACAAGCTACAATACAGCTCTGTCCCCCAATGAGTAGTGGTACCACAAGGGTGACCTGGGCTGACAATTATTCTACCCAATCCTATCTGGGAAGCCAATGCTGCTATCCATTAAAACGCTTCCATATTACTACCGTATCTCATCTTTTCCTTTCTTAGAAAAGAAGATGGCAGGGGGAGCTGCCCCAGCAGGCAGGCATCTGAGCACATCAGTCTACTCAGTACTGTGTTCCTCCCTGTGGTTCAATAGAATGCTTTACATAGATATCCCTTCCACCCTTTATCAGAAATGGGAGTCAACGCAAAGAGCAACACCAAGGGCAGAAAGAGGCACCATCCATGTTGGTTTAGCCAAGGTTCCCTGGATGTGGAAAATGGCTTTAGGCTTGCTTCAGTCCTTCTCTGCAGTCTATATCTGTACATTTTTGTGCAGCAGCGATTCAGGAGCATGATGGGGGGGGGGAGTATTCTTCCTTTTGTAAAAAAAATCTGTACTGAAAAGAGGCTTACAGAGTGGACTGGTTTGTTTATCTCAGTTTTTAAGTAAATGAACAGATGTAACACTTTTCTATAATTTGGTTTAGTGCAGATGCTGAAATGGGCCTTTCACAATAAAATATATGCAGTATATGTAATTTCAGCTGGATCTTCTGGCATTTTGAAGTGAAAATGTGTACCTGCAAGCTGTTTTATGGTTTCCCAGTCATAATTATCTCTGTTACACAGACTGCTACAACAGCAACTCAGCCTTCATGTGCAAGCTTTTTAACAATGTCTTGACAATATTCTAAATTTTGCAATGCACAATATTCCCCTTTTGCTTTGTTCAGAAGTCTGTTAAATTGTTTAATTTCTCTCTGTAGAAAATTTATGAAGTAATCAAATAAAAAGCAACTATGCCACTAGATAATCTCTGTGTGACTCCCTTGTAGAAGACTAGAAATAAGAGACTAGTAAAAGGATATAAAGACTTTTGATAATGTATCCGGAAGGGACTGATTCACACCTATGAGAAAAAAACATAGACTGCAAGCATTGTTTTACTACATAAAGAAATACAGAGAAACATGAGACAATGGTTGAAACTCTTAACAGCAGTCTTCAAATGTCAGAATGTGGAAAAGACTGTCCAGACACTTCAAGAGATGTGGCAGCTCATAAATTAGAGACAAACCAAAGCCCAGTCCAGCAATTCTGCTAAGCACAGAGAGAAAAGGTATATACAGAGTTGCTATTGTATTCTGTGTAAGTTCCTGCTTTCCATATGGAGGATTCTTCTTCCACATCTGCATCTGCTCTGCTACATATGAAGGGTTTCAGCTAAAGGGCTCATGAATAGTGCCTTTGACTGAACCCCCAAGCTTTATGAAATACCTAACTCTTTTATCATTAAGACCATTCATTAGTATTACTATTTATTTAGATGAAGTAGGGGGGAAATTAGTTCATAATGATGCTTGTAGTCCTAGCGCCTTTTATTTTAAACATTTATTAGCTGCCTTTCTTCCTTACAGAGATCAAAGCAGCGTACAATTTAGATAAAATATTACACATAAAATACAAAATTAAAACCAGAATTTAGGGCTGCTAGTAAATTAATCAAAAGCAGTCCTAAATGCAACTGTCTTCAACTGTGTCCTAAAGAAGGGGGCCTAAAGTGAGGGGGCCAGGCGCACCTCCCTGTGGAGGGTGTTCCTTCTATTCAGAAGAAGAAGAGGAGGAGAAGAGATTGGATTTATACCCTGCCCTTCACTCAGAATCTTAGAGCGGCTTGCAAACTCCTTTCCCTTCCCCTCCCCACAACAGACACCCTGTGAGGTAGGTGGGGCTGAGAGAGCGCTGAGAGAACTGCTCTTTCAAAGACAGCTTTTTCAAGGACAGCTCTTGTCAGAACTATGAGTTGCCCAAGGTCACTCAGCAGCTGCATGTGGAGAAGTAGGGAATCAAACCCGGTTCTCCCAGAATAGGGTCTGCACACTTAACCACTAACCAAACTGGCTCTCAGGCCGATTCCGCACTAATGCTTTGCCCCCCTTTCCCCCCGGGTCTAACTGGCCCGATTCTATGCACACGTTTCCGCATTACAGAAATCTGACCCGGGTTTTGCCTGGGTGTTCATTTCTGCATCTCGCCTTGCCCCGAACCTAGAGCCCCCTTCCCTCTCTTCTCCCTCCTTTTTTTTGAATGGAGGCGGGGTTGCATTGTAACGCACTGCCTACTGAAACGCCGATGGGTCCCTTTAATTTTTGACCCTTGATGCCCGCGAAAAGCATCCATTGATGCAGCCGGGAAGTGGGGGGGGGGGCGCGGATGGGAAGTCAGTATACGAACATGAAAAAGAATGCTTAAACCTTTACACAAATGGTGAATTCCAAACAGAAATGAGAAAACAGTATACAGACATGTAAAAGGATACTTAAACGCCGGTCAACAATGGCCCATTGTTGCGTCCAGTAAACGATGGGCTATTGTTGCATTGCAACGCAACACTGGAGGGAAAAAAGCACGCACGCACCAAGAAAGGGGGGGAAGGATGCAGCCGGGAAGTGGGGGAGGGGGCAGATGGGAAGACAGTATAAGAACATGAAAAAGGAATGCTTAAACCTTTACACATGGTGAATTGCCAAACAGAAATGAGAAAACAGTATACAGACATGTAAAAGGATACTTAAACGCCGGTCAACAATGGCCCATTGTTGCGTCCAGTAAACGATGGGCTATTGTTGCATTGCAACGCAACACGGGGGTTGAGCAAGCTGCATTTCCATACAGTTGGAGGGGGGAGAAGCAGGAGGGCGTTGAAAAGGTGTTGATAGGCAGGAATGGGAGGGAAAGGGAGGGAAAGAAGCAAAGGGGTGTTAAAGGGGCGAAGAGGGGACAGCCACAAATCGCAAGTTCCCCACTGGAATGCCCCGACTTCAACACTGCAGCCCCCCCCAAAAAAAAAGATCCTGAAAATAGTGGAGACGGAAAATCCAGGGGGAAACACCATTAGATTCGGGGCAATTGCTAACCCGGACCACCATGTGGGGAACTGATTGATTTCAACGGATATTATCAGGGTGTGACACGGGAGCCAGTGATTGTGCGGAATCGGCCTCAGTGATGCATTTGGCTGCTGTGGGAACTTCAAAGATACCTCTGGCCCTCTGCATGGCTCATCCGACTCTGTATGCACATAGTTTTCTAGATTTGCAGCTTATGTTTCAAGTAGGACTCAAGAAGTGAATTAAATCCTTTGTTCCCCTTTGGGTAATTCATTTATGAGGTCATTATAAGAACCAGGAAGTAAATTTGGCACCACAGACTAAAGTGCTAAGAGTGCAATCCTAAACAGTGTTGCACCATTCTAAAGCAAGGGGTATAAAAGGGTGTGACTCTGTTAAGGATTGCATGGGAATATTCATATTTTTGTGGACGCCAGAACCACTCCTGCATCCACATACATGATACATTACATGCAACACAGCAATGCAGGGATCTCCTCTAGATGGCACAGTGCCACAAGGTAACTGACTGCGTATGTAAGGTCTATGTTACATTCATACTCATTCACACAAAAGGGGAAAAAGCATTAGCATGTCCTAGAGTGGTTATTTTATACTTCTGAACTGTTCATACATTCTTTGCTCATAATCCTGTAAGTCATTGTCTACATACCGTTAGGATTCCACTGGTCTTCTCCTCCCAGTACGAATAAGAAATTTTCTACTTCCACAACACAATGGTGGGCACTATTGTACGGCATAACTGTGAACAAAACAAGTATTCTTTATCAAGTTCCACCTCAGATTGTTTTGGAGCATTTAATTTAAGAAGCATCTAAACATTAAATTCAGACATAATAAAATTAGGATTGAGCTTTAATATATTAAAAAGCATCTGAAATCCACACATTATGTCACAAATTCTTAAAATGCTGTATTAAAAATACTGGAAAATGACAAGGTGGAAGATAACAAGATCTCCATTTTCTTGTTGGCATGATCTGATGCTGTAAGAGCACGATCCACAATTCTGCTGTGCTGTACTGATACAAATCTCCCATCCATTGTCACTGGGCGATTCTGCATCTAGCACTTGCTCCACAGAAAAAAGTGCAGCTCAAAACCACATTCAAATACCCTGGGCCCACACCATACTGACTGCAAAGTCACCCCTGAATGGCCATAAAACTGCTATAAATCTATGCAAAAGGTACCATAAAATCCAATGGTCAAAGGAAGTGAAAGGGGAATTTCTGTTCCAACGTGGGTTTGCTAAAACAATGGAGAGAAAAGCCCCTGCAGAATCAGCCACTAGCAACTGAACTCTAGCAAATTCCAGGCATTCCTCAGACCACACAGGCAGAGGCTCTGCAACAGCTGCCTGCTCTGTTTATAACAGGTAAGGAGCTCTCCCAATAGTTCCTACAGACTGGTCAGGAGCTGTCTGTGACCTCATTAGTCAGTCACAGTGGCAGCATCAACTGTTACATAACCTGAAAGCTGAGGTGTCTCCAGACCCCAGGTATGCTCAGGTTGTGGGGGCTGAAGGGGGTGGCAGTGCACTGAGGTGAAGCATCTGCTGCAGGTTCGTAAAGTGTGCCCTAAAACATGCCAGAGACACAAAAAACTATCAATGCAGTTGTCTAACAGAGCCCTGTAACTACAGCATAATGAAGGAGAGAAGACATATTTAAAAAAACAACAACACCAGTCAGCTAAGCTTTGTTCTGTTGGAAACATTTCCAGAAGAAGAGTCAGAGTGTTCAGTTGCTTTCTCTTACACAGCAATGAGCAAGCTGCATTTCCATACAGTTTTAAGTTTTTAAATTAAGGTCCTGCTGATTTAATGCCTTCTCCAAATGTATACGCTTAATTTCCTGTACAATGTCATTAGCAGCACAATCAGACATTTTCCATCCATCTAATCAGGAAGCTTTTTGTTAAGACAGATCAAAACTGTTTCTCCAGGGTTGCAACATCCTTTTTGCTAGTCTCTGTGTTTGTGTGTTTGGTGGGGTAGTATTGTTATGGGGAGGAGAGAGGAAACGAAAATCTTTTTTTGTTGTTGTTCCACATTATTCCAACGTTTGAGCTGCAGCAGAAAAAATATGCAGTTTCAGTGCCATCATATGTATTGCTCTGTGGTATGTGACACTATCAAAAATTGTGTGTTGAAATGCACACTTACACAGTTTTAGTTATCATACCACATATGCTAGTTCTGGCCTGGTATCACCAGTAGGAAAAATAATGTCCTTGTTCAGCTCATCATATGGGCACCTTAAATCTAGGTGAGGACAAATGGGGAGGTGATGTGCATGTATAGGCAGGGAACTTATTGCTTGACACGGATCAACAGAGCACTTAGGAAACCAGTGCAGTGGGAAATCAATATGACTCAGGGCCAGCTCTTACTCTGTGCTCTTTTGCCAGTGCCAAAAAAAGAGGCAGCCTATCTCACACTTGGATTATTTTGGGTGATATATCTCTCATTTCATTTGTTTTATTATCTTTTATTTTTCTCAATGCACTCGAGCCGTATAGCATATGCAAATAATAATAAGAAATATGTGCAGCTTTCTTGTTTAGGACACATTTTCTTAAAGATCAAGTAGTCTCATTTAAGCTTCTTACTGAATTTTTTTTGCCAAGGCAATGATGAATAAGTAAGGTGCATTTTTAGTTTCCAGTAAAGGTCAAATATCATTTTCATAGTCTGTATTTGTACAACTATCTAAGCAAAAGCAACTAGGCTAAAAGGTTTAGTGAAAATGCATTAATTAATGTTACTTATTGCTAGTAGATCTTATACAGCCATTTAGGAGGCAGGCCTAGGCACTGTTAGATGTGCATTCTTCTAATTACAAGCAATCCCACAAGTAAATGAAATATTTGTGGAGGAAAAAAAGGTTTAAAAATTGTAGCTTTGGAATGGCTATAGAATGGGATGTTAGGCCATCACACCTACTATGTCAATTTAAAATTCAACATCAGGTTAATAATTAAAGCCCACCAGTAAACCTTTCCTCTCTTTTTATGTTTTCAGCTTCTACACACTCCTACATTAAACCATACACAATTTAATCCCTATATAAGTACAGTTACTTCCTTTATTTGCATTAATACATTTGATACACTTTTTTTAATTTAGTGAAGGAAAAGACCATGGGTTGGATCCCATCTAAATTCTGTGCAACTTCTCCCCCTTCCCCTTTCCACTGTAGCACAAAATGCCCACTAAAATGCTTCTCCTAATGAATGAGGGACCCCCAGGGACACCATGAGGGGAGTGTTGCTGTGATAGTGGGGGATCAGTACAATTGTACCCCTCTTGTGTGCCTGGAACTTTTTGACAGGATTCAACCTTACATTTTGAACTTTTCAACCAGTTAAATATAATACTCTGCCCATTAAGATTACACCGGAACATAACTTGTGATCCACCAGCCAAATGTGGCCTGCCAGTCATATATGGTTGTGCACCAGTAGCTCAAATGAACCCCCTGTCCTTTTTGCCTGTCAGGCATTGAAAAAACATGGGTTTTGTCAAATACCTGGGAGCCCACCATACATGGCTGGTGAACACTGGACCCGTTCACACGGAGCATTTGCTGCGCTGAAGGCACAATCGTCCTGCGGATTTTATGGGCGCCACACCGGAACACCTGGGAGGTGTAGCGCACCCGTGGCTAACCCATGGCTTCTCGCCGAAGGTGCGGAGTAAAAAACTACTACATACGAGGCACTAGTTTCCGGAAAACGAGGGGCAAGGGTGGGCGTCTGATCGTGTTTCTGCTTGAATCCCGTGGCATCCGACACCCATCCATGTCCCGTCGCAAGCTGGATTGTTGGGTTTTTTAAAGTCTCCACAGGATGTGCACAAACGATCATGCGCATGCACAACTTTCGGGGGGAAAAAATCACGTTTGTCACAGAAGCGGCACATAACGATTGCCGGTGTGATCGTGCTGCGCCGCTTCTTTGCCGCGCTGCAGGATAGCCGTGTGATTGGCACCTTATGGCCCAACCACGGGACCTCGACGGGACGTGTGATTGGGCTGCCGTGTGTCACTTTGCTCCGGGGCAAACAGCCACGCTCCCCCCCTGCATTTTCCGGCCTGTGTGACCGGGGCCACTGTTTGGCTTGAAAAAGCATGCTGTTTTAATTCATAGCAACACTTTTGAAAACTGTATTAGGATAGTAATGGGCTTTTCCAAATATTTACTTAGATGAAACTCTTAATACAGAGGATAATAGAAAGTCTACCTGACTTGGGACTGCAAATCTATGACCAAAAAGTACAGAACACCATAAAGTCCTTTCTTTTGACACTGAAGTGCCTTTCAGGTGCATAGCCAGGCTGCTTCTGTGTAAAAGGGTGCTATACAGCAGAGGCATGTTCATGAATAATGCACCCATGTATATCCAGGGCTGATCACCTGTATCTTTACCTCCCTCCCAATAGAGTGCTAATTCAATTCATGTAACCACATTATTCATGTATGGCTCTACAATGTGGGATCAATGATGCTGAAGCCACTTCCATACTTCTCAGTATGACTAGAGACGTCCAAACTCCTGTGGGATCAGATAACCTTCTAACTGCCAGATGCAAATATCATGGTCAGATCAACTAATTGACGAGTCATTCACCAGAATTCACTGGGTGACTGCACAATTACTACTTGGTCTCTGCGGTTAGAAGAGGTTGCAATCCTTTTACCTGGGAGTAAGCTCACTGAATAAAAGGAGACTTTGATTTCTTGTTTAGTGGCCCGAATAGACCTGCTTAGGGGTGCACTGGCAGGCCAAAATAGTCCTGGAAGAAGTTTTGTAATGGGGACAACATTCTCCCTTTTTTCCTCACAAAACCTGTGAGGCAGGTTATGCTGAGAGTACGTGACTGGACCAAGGTTACTCAGTATGCTTCTCCAGCCAATTGAAACCTGAATCTTCCAGATGCTAATCCAATCCTCTACCCCTATACCATGCTGGCTCTCAAGTCCTTGCAGGTCCTCTGCTTATTTATTCTACTTCCAGGGACTATCATTCTATTCCGTGGGCTGTCATTCCTGTCCTAAAGCACTCATTTCAGTCCCAGGAACCATCACTCTACTCTGGGGGCTGTCATTCCAGACCTTGAGGATAGGCTCACTAGAATTGCTACCACTGATTATGGTGAACTCGTTTATGGTGAAGATTGAAGCATCCTTAACATGAGCATTCACATCTCTACAGATTACAGGAAACACAATGATTTCAGAGCTACATTGCAACAATGTACTTGTTTAATACCAGTGACAACCATGGATATCAGTGGAAACTTTAGACATGTAGAAATGGAAGAATATCAGACTGAGAACTGAAAAGACTGTAAAATTCTCATATATATATATATCATAATCTTGATATATAGCCACATGTGAAAATGACAAGGAAATGAACAGAGATTAAAGTTCTAAAAGTGTCATTTGAATAAGAAAAGATATTCCAGTTTCAAAATGCAACTTCCTAAGATCATGGTCACAATTCTGAGAACTGCCTGACTAGACATGTGTTCCCACTGGGGCATTTGGATTTTACTTTCTCAGACGACAACAGCACAGACCATATGGCAAACTACCTTTGAAACCAGAGAAGTTTCAAAAGCAGCTTATTTATTTTCCAAAATTTATACCCCACCCTTTTGACATCACAAGGGCTAACAAATTAAAACATACATAATAAAACCACATTTTAAAATCATTAAAACCAAACCCCCCCAAACGCAGATCATTAGAACAATTAAAAATCAGGGTTAAAATCAAAGACATAAAGAACATCTATTAAAACTATGCTCAAGGAGGAGGAGGGATCACTGAATGAAACTCAGACGAAACAACAGACTCTTCATCCACTGGTAGAAAATGGCAACAGAAAGGGACAGACGAACGTCCTTGGAGAAAGAGTTCCAGGGTTTTGGTGCCATGACCAGGAAGGCCCTCTCTCAGGTTGCCATCCACCTACTCTCAGAATGAGAAGGGAGTCCTAGGGCTGCCAGTTCCTGGTTGGGAAATTCCTGGAGATTTTGTGGTGGAGTCTGAGGAGGGCAAGGTTTGGGGAGGGGAGAGGCCTTAGCCGAATGCCACAGAGTCCATCCTCCAAAGCAGTCATTTCTTCCAGAGGGACAGATCTCTGTTGTCTGGAGTTGGGTACTAATTCTGGGAGATCTCCAGGTCCCATCTGGAGGTTGGCAACCCTGATTGCAGGGCCTCTGCAGTGTTCTGGATGGGGCACTTATGGGGTGGCACAGAGGTCAAATAACTCTTGGTATATGTAAACCTTTGGGAATGCCTAGAATAGCTGTCTGGATTTTGACAGTTTTGAATTCTGAAGGACAAAAAAACCCCCCTTTTTGCACCAGCGAGCCCCCATGTCTCATCCCTGCTGCATCAAAGCATTCACGAAGACTTCACAGGTGTAAATAATACAAAATACGGGCCAATGTTTTGTCTAGTGATGCAGAACAACATTCATTAATTGCATCCTGTCCTCTATTTTGCCAATTTGTTTTAACACAAGCTTTAGTCTTCCTTATCTTTACATTTCATTTCATCTCAGGTAAGTACCTCTCTTCCCCTCAAAAAAGGTATTTGGAAAGAAGTTTGTACGCCATGCTCAAACATAGCCCAGTGTGAGTTTTTAGCGTGTCAGTCAGTGAGTTAGAGGGAAAGGGTAAAGAGAAGCTAATCAGGATGAAATGAGATTAAAGGCTGTCTAATTTTACAGCAACTGTGATCCATCAGCCACTGTGAAAGTGACAGTGGAAATGAATGATGGAGACAGACAGGTGGGGCTGTACATTTCACTGATTTATCCTCAAATGCACTGGGCCTTATTTTATTGAGTGAACATGACCGCATTTATCATGACTGTCATCTAAACCCACTTCCCTCCATTTAAAAAGGTCACTTTACTAGGAGGAAGTAGGATAGAGGCACTTTCAAAAGAGGTTTAAAAATCTAATAACATGTGTTTATAAAGCTCTGTGCAAGAACTCTCAGCTTTATTAAACAAACTAGTGGGGTTAAATGAAAGGAGAAAAGGCCAATAAATAAAAAGAGAAAATTGACATCTGAAAAACATGTGCAAGGACCAAGGTATTGGTGTCCTATAAATAAATTACACAAGGAAAGACACATTAAAAGAGAACAACACAGACAGCTTCTTGGGTAACCTACCTTTCAAGCCCCCAACTATGCAATTCCAATAGAAGTGCAGAGAATATTTCTTCAGAAATTCAAGAGGAGCATCTCTGCACTGCTTTTTAACCAGCAGACCAGAAATCTGTTCTCAGTGAAGAGAGATGGTTTTCTCAGTCATAAAGTTTGTAGGGAGGTCAATTGCTTGGATTGCACATGTAATTGTTAGCTCATCAGTAACAGCCAATAATGAGGCATTATAAAGTATGTATTCCACCACAAACACACATGGCAAAAGGGAAACAGTCCCTCTTTTCTTACAGAGAAAAGAGCTATGTGTCATCTGCTCTCTCATATCCACTTCCCTTCTCTGGATACTTTTTCATAATCTCTTATAATAGATTAACTTGTGTCTGAACCAGGGGTCCCCAACATCCTTGGGTCTGTCAGCACCTCTGGAACTCTGACACAGTGTGGTGGGCGCAATCACAAAATGGCTGCCACAGGAGGCAACGCCAGCCACAAAATGGCTGCTGCAGCTCACTTTCAGTAACACAGTGAAGATTGTTGTGCTGTGGTGGCAGCTGCTGCCAAAGCAATGTTTTTAAAAGTCTACACAGCCAATCAAATCTCCAATGATCAGTCAGAAGCCTTGCTGGGCAAAGGACCCACTTGCCCCTCCCACTTTCTAAAAACACTTGGAGGGCACCAGGAAAGATGCCTATGGGTGCCATGTTGGGGATCCCTGGTCTAAACCCTTTCAATTCCCTTGTACCAATGCAAACTCTGATTTTTTTGGATGGCTGGTAGGTGAGCTGACCTAGGTCCTGCCTCTGCTCCACTGTCTTCTTGCATAACACAGTTATGTAAAATCCTCCACCTTTGTGAAGCACCAAGTAGTACCACCACACTATTATGACAGTACAGCATTCTGGTTCCTTTTACTGGCCAGATGCTTTAGCTGGTAAATTTATGCCATCAGTCTAATTTGCTCCTTTCAAAAATGTAACAGAAATATAACACAATACATTCTAAACATATAGAGGGTCCATGTGTTTGTTATAGTGTGAAGAAACACACAGTAAGCACCTGCCATGTCTTTTGTTCATAATCTATGTAATTATTGCAGCAAACCTAGCTCACACACTGTAGCTCTAAGTCAGCAACATATCATTAGGATCCGTGAATAAAAACAGAGAAAAATACATGTTTTAAGGTTTCCTTAAAAGATAGAAGACAACTACCAGAGCAACACCAGAGTAGCTTATTATCTGGATATGTATCCATCCAAAGAAATACTTAAACCAACAGACACATGCAGTATATTTCAGCCAGGAGAAACACACCATGATCTTGTCAAAGGGAATGAGTAACTGGAAAATTAAAAAAATTAAACATGCAAATATTCAGCATTCATTCTTCTTGCATTCAGTTCTGCTCCAAAATGAAAAAGGTCATCAGTTGATAGCATTATTTACAGGGGCGACATTACCAGGGACATATTTTCTTCTCAAACTTGTCTGTCTGTTTGCCTATAATTTTAAAATAATTTCTACCCCTTGCCCCTAGTTTGCTTCTCATAATTATTCAGAAATTTGTATATGCCAATAAATTTCAGCAGAACAGCTGTTTGTGAGGTGTTCTTTCTGCATGCAAACTACTTGTCATTTGGAATGAATTAATAACGACAAGAAGCACAGTAGGTTTCTGGTCAGTTGTTCACACATTTTTGGGACACAGGGAGAACTTTAGATGGAAGAACAACAAATGAGGATGGACTGCTTGAGGAAAGACTACAGGCTATGTTTACAGCAGCCTATAATACTGACAATCATCATACAATGGGACAAATGTTTTACAGAAGAAAATACCACAATTTGTCAATAAGGGTAGAATTAAACTTTACATGCAATCCCGTGACAATTTTCTCCAATATTCTCTTCCCCCCACATGGAGATATGGGGCTGCTTTAAAGGGGAGGTGAAGCTATTCTTCTCACTCCATATTCTCCTGCTGAAACAAGTAGCTTCAGCTCACACTAGAGGAAAATATATGCATCAATACATTCTCCTCCAGTGGCGGAAGGCATTCAGACTGGTTAGGTCACACCCCTTCTCGCTTCAGGCAGGGCTATGCAATTTTTGTGTATGCCTACTTGGATAGAGCAAGGGCGCCCTTCCAGTTTCGACAGCCCTGCCACTTCAGGAGGTCGTTAGAGCCTAGCTCCACTCACCAGATCACCAGAAGTTGTCTATTCAGCATATCTAAAGACTGAGACCCTTTGAGGTGCAAATAGCATGGATTCCAAGGCATCTAAGAAGGCTCCAGGCTCAGAAGCTGTAAACAACAGGGAACAAAGCTTGAGCAGACCTTGCCCGTCAGGCCTCAGACAGAGAGGAGGGAGCAACACAGACTGCCAGGACGCATCGGAAAGAGGATCGGGCGGGGGCTCCTGAGGTCTCGGGAAGCCACACAGCCAGCGCAGCGATTCCTGGGTATGGGATGGCCCAAACGGCCCCAGAGGCCTCTGGGAGACCAAGAATGGCTGAGGAGGAGAAGCGTGAAACTGGGGTGCACACGAGCCATGGCGAACAAAGCGCTGCCATGGATGTTCTTGCTGTGGGGAGCAGTGAGTCCGGGAACGTTTTCAGAGCCCCCAGCCCACTAGTCAACCCTCCATCGGTAGCAGATCCCAGGCTGGCCAGCTACAACATCTATGTGGCTCCGTTCTTACCCTCCCCTCTGCAGATGACGAATGCACCTGCAGCAACAGGGCAAAACATGGCTTCCGCTGCCACATTTTTTCCTGTGCTTTACGGACAGCCCCCTAGCGACTGGCCAGTGAATAGCTGGAGGGCAGCCTGGTTCCCTCAACCAATTCCTGCCGTCATTAACTCTATGCCAAGCCATATACTTAGGCAGCCTGAGGAGGACCGGGAGCCCACTGATCTGAGGTCTGGGGACCGGGAGTGTTTTCAGTGAGAGGTCCATGGATCCCCACGGCAAGGAAAGGCATAGGACCTCCAGCCTTTCTGTCTCTGCATCTACACACTTCTCCTCTTCTTCCTCAGAACGGGAGGTTTCTAAGAAAAGGGGACAAAAAAGGCGAGTTGGGAGAGAGAGATCCAGGAGCAGCAGATCCTTAACTCCCCCACCCTCCACAAAAAGGCCCAAGCTGAGCTATAAGAAGAAGCATACCCAGCATAGGCTAGTTTCAGATGAGGAAGGCAGCCATTCTGTTGTTTCAGCCATTCACTCTGACAAGGAGGAGGGTGAATGGTCTGGTGAGGACTCAGACGCCAGGGAGAGTTCTACTTGGTTATTTCAACCTGAGCACTATCAGAGATTACTCAAGAAGATAGTCTCCACCCTCAACTACTCAAATGATGCAGGAGAACAAGGCACTTCAGAGGCAACAGATAGCCTGGATGCAAGAGGTTTCAAAAAACCCAGCAAAAAATGGACAGGCTGCCCCTTTCCAAGGCATTTCCAGGAAGTGATCAAATCAGAATGGGCTCTTCCTGGGACTGACTCTACCCTGAATACTATAGCAAAGAAGTTCTATGGTCTGCCACATGAGACTATAGAAGACTTGAAGGTGCCCTTGGTGGACATGCCAGTGGTGGCCCTACATTCTGGGGCTGTTTTATCCAAGGATGGGGACAACGTCCTTAAAGATACAGTGGACAGAAAAAATGAGACTGTGCTCAAAAAAGCCCATGAGGTAACCTCCTTGGCAATAAGAGCTTTTGCTGTCCTCTCTAATTTTACACGTGCTATAGTCATCTGGGCAGATGATCTTATTCAACAACAGGATCCTGAACCCCTCACCTTAAAGAGGTCACTACTTAAGATTAAGCGGGCTGCACAGTTTGCTTCTGATGCCTCACAGGACAGTCTTCAGTATTCTGCCAGGATTCAGGCAGCCAATGTAGTGGTGAGACGGAACCTTTGGCTTAAGCAGTGATCCCCTGTCTAAGGCTAATTTATCCACAGATAAATTTTCGGGACACCTGCTCTTTGGTGAAGGTGAAGTAATAAGGGGAAAGTGAAGGTCCACTTGATAAGGTCTTGGTTGAAACCAAGGAAAAGAAGCGTGCCATGCCTTCAAAGCAAAAGATTTCAAACCACGGCCTTTTCAGTCCTTTCGATAGTATAAAACAAGTTACAAGGGCAGAAACTACAGAGATGACAGAGGAGGCCATTCCTCTTCTTACCAGTCAAGATTCCCAAAGAGGCAGTTCCCGAGTTTCAAGAGAGACTCCAACAACCAAGGAAAGAAGCCTACCGTGTGATGTCAGGATTGGCTGCAGGCTGCAGGATTTTGCCGAACAGTGGGAAAGGACCATTCAAGACCCTTGGGTCCTGTCCATTGTGAAGTTCAGCTACAAGATCCAATTTTCTTCTCTACCCCCACACCGGTTTGTTCAGTCTCCAGTACCAAAAGAACCAACAAAGCTGATATATCTGAAGG